TGTGTGTGTGTGTGTGTGTGTGTGTGTGTGTGTGTGTGTGTGTGTGTGTACGCACCTAATTGTGCTTGCGGGGGTTGAGCTTTGGCTCTTTGGTCCCGCCTCTCAACTGTCAATCAACTGGTGTACAGATTCCTGAGCCTACTGGGCTCTATCATATCTACATTTGAAACTGTGTATAGAGTCAGCCTCCACCATATCACTGCCTAATGTGTGTGTGTGTGTTTGTGTATGTGTGTATGTGTGTGTGTATGTGTGTGTATGTGTGTACTCACCTATATGTACTCACCTATATGTGCTTGCAGGATCGAGCATTGACTCTTGGATCCCGCCTTTCGAGCATCGGTTGTTTACAGCAATGACTCCTGTCCCATTTCCCTATCATACCTGGTTTTAAAATTATGAATAGTATTTGCTTCCACAACCTGTTCCTGAAGTGCATTCCATTTCCCCACTACTCTCACGCTAAAAGAAAACTTCCTAACATCTCTGTGACTCATCTGAGTTTCAAGCTTCCATCCATGTCCTCTCGTTCTGTTACTATTCCGTGTGAACATTTCGTCTATGTCCACTCTGTCAATTCCTCTGAGTATCTTATACGTTCCTAATCATGTCCCCCCTCTCCCTTCTTCTTTCTAGTGTCGTAAGGCACAGTTCCCTCAGGCGCTCTTCATACCCCATCCCTCGTAGCTCTGGGACGAGTCTCGTTGCAAACCTCTGAACCTTTTCCAGTTTCATTATATGCTTCTTCAGATGGGGACTCCATGATGAGGCGGCATACTCTAAGACTGGCCTTACGTAGGCAGTGTAAAGCGCCCTAAATGCCTCCTTACTTAGGTTTCTGTGTGTGTGTGTGTGTGTGTGTGTGTGTGTGTGTGTGTGTGTGTGTGTGTGTGTGTGTGTGTGTGTATTCACCTAGTTGCGTTTACAGGGATTAAGCTTTGCTCTTTCGGCCCGCCTCTCAACTATCAATACACTGTTACTATTTTTTTCAACACACACACACACCAGGAAGCAGCCCGTGACAGCTGACTAACTCCCAGGTACCTATTTACTGCTAGGTAACAGGGGGCATCAGCGAGAAAGACCCTCTGCCCAGTTTTGCTTTCTCGCCGGCTCCGGGAATCGAACCCCGGTCCACAGGATTACGTATCCAGCGTGCTGCCCACTCAGCCACCAGCGCTCAGCCACTGTGTGTGTGTGAAGGGGGGAGGGGGAGATGGGCTCTAGCTCTTTATTCCCCCCTTATTGGCCTTGTAATGTGGAAGGAGGTGGCTTCTACAACTGCCTTCAGTGTATTTCACTTCCTGACCAGAGAGCTGCCAGCTCTATGGTGCTGCTTCAGGGTCCTGCCAGCTGACACACCTACCGTGTATTGTAGATACACTTAGTGTATCTACCATACACGGTAGATACTTGACCTGGTAGATATTTCTCTAATGGTAGAGAAAGAGAGATGACATCACTTAAAAAAAAAATCATGTTTATAAAAGTACTTTTTTTGCATTTTCACTGCATAACAAAAAAAATTAATTGCAATAAGTAAATAAGTTTACATCAGCTTTTTATTTTTGGAACAATCAATTGTCAGAGGCAAATTTCATTTAAAAGATGACAATGTAAATATTGCAATAGATTGCAGCTGCAAATATCACAAAAGACATTTTAAGCTATATAAATAGTCAAACTTTTAATTGAAATATATATTTTAACGTTTCCCAAAGCAATTCGCGTTATATAGCGATTCAAATATACTTTTTTTATCAGAAATATGACGAGTGTAACCTTGCGGTGAGTAGATATATATTGAGTTTTAACTGATGAGTCTGTTGATGTAAATCTGATGAATGGTTGAAAATCGTCTGTATGGTGTATGTAAAATGTTAGTTGGTGAAGACTCATCAGCTGATGAGAAATCATCTGCTATGCCAGCTTAAACTGGTGGTACAGCACTACCAGCTCCACCAAACATTGAACCTCTTACATAAGAAAAAGGGCTGCATTTCTCACGACAATTGCCAGCGTCATCAGAGCATGACAGCATTGTGAAGCCTGTGCAGGTCTGCTGGAGCAGACACCACACGGGACTAGTCATGGGAGTGGAGGTGTGTGAAATGAGGTGGTCAGAGATGGAGTGGAGGCTGTGTGGTGAGGTACATAAGCCCCCAAATATTATTTTAGAATCCTCCACGGCCTCTTAAGACACTATGGTTCAGCCTCCTCCCACAATGCTTGCTTACAACTCCTAATGCAATATATGGCTCTCAGCACACTCATTCAGACCCCGAATGTGGAAAGTATATATGCTTTAGGAGCAATAACAGTTATACAAACCAGCTAACGCGAGACACCAGCAAACGCATCCGCTCTCAGCCCCGCCAGGAGAGTAACCGCCTTTGGGCGCCTCGCTTGGATTGGCGCCAACCTGTCTGTCTGAGAGGGGATACTAGCCTATTTTATATACACCAATATAACATCTAACTCTGTAACCTCCTTGCAACTCTTTATTTACTGTTTGACAATTCCAGTCTTCATATTAATGCACCGCCAGTCGTGGGGGTATTTGAGGTTTGTAGTTAAATTTAAATTCTAACGGCTATATTTAAAATTTAAATTTAAATTCTAACTGCTGACTCGGTGGGCGTGGCCACTGACTCATGACGTCATAGAGAACTGTCACACTGAATAGTTATTTGACTGTAGGATTACAAAGTCAGTCAGGCTTATAAAACCACCCACACACAAGCTACATATGATTTCCCCTGGAAAGACACACATGAAATCCATTCTCGAAAGTCACATATGATTCCCCTTCTCAAGAATCACATATAATACCCATTCTCAGATGCCATTTATGATAACTCCCTTTCAAAAGCCACACATGATATCACCTCAAAAGCCACATATTATAACCCCCTCCCCTCTCAAAACCCACATATTATAACCCCCCTCCCCTCTCAAAACCCACATATTATAACCCCCTCCCCTCTCAAAACCCACATATTATAACCCCTCCCCTCTCAAAACCCACATATTATAACCCCCTCCCCTCTCAAAACCCACATATTATAACCCCCTCCCCTCTCAAAACCCACATATTATAACCCCCTCCCCTCTCAAAACCCACATATTATAACCCCCTCCCCTCTCAAAACCCACATATTATAACCCCCTCCCCTCTCAAAACCCACATACACCGACCCCTTTACAAATTCCAATATTATATCCATCCGGCTATACACGTTCAAACCTCTAAACTTAGGTCATGAGTATATTAATTTAAACTTTGACCTCTGAACCTAATATGGGTCTGAAGATTATAATGACTGCGGGTCAAAGGTCAATGCGAGAGGGGGTAGAGGTGAGAGAAGTGGAGAAATGAATGAATAAAAAAAGGTGATAGAAGAGGAATGAGTAAACACAGCGAGCATGATGGGTAAATTGAATATAGAGAGAGGAGAGTGCGTTGGTAAATAGGATCCGAAGCGGAGAGTGGCCAGTAAACATTGAGAGTGCCAGGAATAGGGGAAATGGGTAAACACCGAGTGCCAGGAATGGGTAATGGGTAAACACAGTGCCAGGAATGGGGACAGGGTCAACACAGTGCCAGGAATGGGGTACAATAGGTCAACACAGTGCCAGGAATGGGTACAATAGGTCAACACAGCGCCAGGAATGGGGTACAATAGGTCAACACAGTGCCAGGAATGGGTACAATAGGTCAACACAGTGCCAGGAATGGGGTACAATAGGTCAACACAGTGCCAGGAATGGGGACAGGGTCAACACAGTGCCAGGAATGGGGTACAATAGGTCAACACAGTGCCAGGAATGGGGTACAATAGGTCAACACAGTGCCAGGAATGGGTACAATAGGTCAACACAGTGCCAGGAATGGGTACAATAGGTCAACACAGTGCCAGGAATGGGTACAATAGGTCAACACAGTGCCAGGAATGGGGGACAATAGGTCAAGACGCAGGTTCGAGCCCCACTACAGTGCCTCAGTAGACGTATCAATTATACACGTATTAGTTCCCATATCTTAACCCCCAACCCAAAAAAATAATAAAAATCATTGGGGGATTGAACTCGGAAACAAGAATAATTGTTTAATACCAGCTTAGTGAGGTAGAGAAAAATGCTCTCCGCGGAGACATACATTTCCAAATTAATGCTTGGAGTAGAATAGTTGCCCAACCGTTCAAATATATATATTTTTTTTTAATGGAAACAAAAGACAGAAAAGCTTTGTTTCCAAGTTTATTCAGCCCGGCTGCTGCTTGTTTAAAAGTGGGTTGAATTGTATAGAATGCAAAAAAAAAATTCATTGTAAAAATTATGTAATTTAACTTTCTGATTATCTGTATTACAATGAAATCATCATTAATACATCAAACGACATTGTCGTTAAAAGATGACAATGTTATATCAATGACAATTTTGTTGTATCACTTGTGATAACAAAATTACTGATATGAATATGTGTGAATGATTGTATCTATCACCACAGATTAGATAGTTACTAAATAGTTACTAAAAGTAACTTTTCAGTAACTTTTTTTCAACTCATTTCAGGAGAATGAGTTGGTATAATTACACCATATTAATGACTCAACCATCTGGAGCTCAATTGTCCCTAACGAGGTAGTTACTCATTGTTAAATTCAGATAAATCTTATTTCCGGTCACGTGGCCCAAGGATGTGGCCACAGACCCCAAGGATGTGGCCACAGACCCCAAGGATGTGGCCACAGACCCCAAGGATGTGGCCACAGACCCCAAGGATATGGCCACAGACCCCAAGGATATGGCCACAGACCCCCAAGGATGTGGCCACAGACCCCCAAGGATGTGGCCACAGACCCCCAAGGATGTGGCCACAGACCCCCAAGGATGTGGCCACAGACCCCCAAGGATGTGGCCACAGACCCCAAGGATGTGGCCACAGACCCCAAGGATGTGGCCACAGACCCCAAGGATGTGGCCACAGACTCCCAAGGATGTGGCCACAGACCCCCAACGATGTGGCCACAGACCCCAAGGATGTGGCCACAGACCCCAAGGATGTGGCCACAGACCCCAAGGATGTGGCCACAGACCCCAAGGATGTGGCCACAGACCCCCAAGGATGTGGCCACAGACCCCCAAGGATGTGGCAACAGACCCCCAAGGATATGGCCACAGACCCCAAGGATGTGGCCACAGACCCCCAAGGATGTGGCCACAGACCCCCAAGGATGTGGCCACAGACCCCAAGGATATGGCCACAGACCCCCAAGGATGTGGCCACAGACCCCAAGGATATGGCCACAGACCCCCAAGGATGTGGCCACAGACCCCCAACGATGTGGCAACAGACCCCCAAGGATGTGGCCACAGACCCCAAGGATGTGGCCACAGACCCCCAAGGATGTGGCCACAGACCCCCAAGGATGTGGCCACAGACCCCCAAGGATGTGGCCACAGACCCCAAGGATATGGCCACAGACCCCCAAGGATGTGGCCACAGATCCCCAAGGATGTGGCCACAGACCCCCAAGGATGTGGCCACAGACCCCCAAGGATATGGCCACAGACCCCCAAGGATATGGCCACAGACCCCCAAGGATATGGCCACAGACCCCAAGGATGTGGCCACAGACCCCCAAGGATGTGGCCACAGACCCCAAGGATGTGGCCACAGACCCCAAGGATGTGGCCACAGACCCCAAGGATGTGGCCACAGACCCCAAGGATGTGGCCACAGACCCCCAAGGATGTGGCCACAGACCCCAAGGATGTGGCCACAGACCCCCAAGGATGTGGCCACAGACCCCCAAGGATATGGCCACAGACCCCCAAGGATGTGGCCACAGACCCCCAAGGATGTGGCCACAGACCCCCAAGGATGTGGCCACAGACCCCAAGGATGTGGCCACAGACCCCCAAGGATGTGGCCACAGACCCCCAAGGATGTGGCCACAGACCCCCAAGGATGTGGCAACAGACCCCCAAGGATGTGGCCACAGACCCCCAAGGATATGGCCACAGACCCCAAGGATATGGCCACAGACCCCCAAGGATGTGGCCACAGACCCCCAAGGATGTGGCCACATACCCCAAGAATGTGGCCACAGACCCCAAGGATGTGGCCACAGACCCCCAAGGATGTGGCCACAGACCCCCAAGGATGTGGCCACAGACCCCAAAGGATATGGCCACAGACCCCCAAGGATGTGGCCACAGACCCCCAAGAATATGGCCACAGACCCCCAAGAATATGGCCACAGACCCAAAGGATATGGCCACAGACCCCAAGAATATGGCCACAGACCCAAAGGATATGGTCACAGACCCCCAAGGATGTGGCCACATACCCCAAGAAATGCTGAGAGACTAACCGTGCAATGGAAGGAGCCAAACAGTTTAGTGGTTCAAGTGGGGGTCGAACTAATTTACCTTGTAAACATTAACTAATGAGCCAGGCAGCTCAGGCAACTAACCGTATTTGGCTTCCTAAAAGAAAAAAGCCCGCGCCTCACTCTTTTTTGCGTGTGTGTGTATTAGTGGTCTAAACTTCCTGCAGCACCGTCGCATGCGGGCTTTGATGAGTTCCTCGGGGACTTGTTGCAAACGTGATTAGTTTAGGATCAACACAGCCTGGTTGAATGATGGGGGGGGGGAGGGGTTGAAAGCTTAATCTAGGTGCAGTGGAGCAGTCAATCTCCACTCATGGGAGCTGGAAATTGAGGTATGATAATACAAGGTGTTAAAACCACACAGGAATCACAATAGCCTCATGTATCAAATGAATAAAAGACTATAGCTTTTCTTCATTTAGGCAGTGTCTGGGATTCTCTCGGACGTAGGTTCGAACCCTCATCACGGCCCCTTGTGGATTTGTTTATAAGGTGTTAAGATGGCAGGTCTGCCGTGTAACACCCATGACCTCCCCCCCCCCTTAGAGTTCACACCCAGGGAAGCCTTCTCCAAGAGGTCAGCCCAGATGACCTCCGGTTTATCTTGTATGTTGATTAAAAAAAAAATTCCTGGGTTAGTCTTAGTCAGCATAGTTTCAAGTATGTAATATTTCATGCAAGGAAATTAGACTCCAGATTCTTATGTGTAAACATCCCTGGATCTCCCCCTTTTGGCCAGGTCAGAGGTCAGTCACACACGTAATTAATAACTCCTCTCTTGAAGAGTGTATGGTGAATGTCAAACAAGCTTATTGAAATATTGTTTAAGTGTTTGTGCACGTGTGGCCCGACCCCCCTAGCTTTTCTGACCTGGGTAGCAACAGCAGATCTCCCCCCTCCCCCCTGTGGGGGTTGTATATAGAGGTCCTGTAGGGACTTAGTACAGAGAGAGTGCCGGACACCGGGGCCCAGAGAGGGCTGTGAAGAACATCTCAGCCAGGGAGAGACAGAGGATTTAAGGTAATGTGTGTGATCTCTGAGGTTTTGTTCCATGTCCAAATTTCTTAACTTTTTGCCAGTGTTAGAATAAGATTTATAAGTTGTGATTGACATAATTTTGGTCTCAATAAACTCATTTTTAAATTTCCCGTCTGTGTCAGTTGTTGAATCCTCTTAGCCTTTTGGATATAGTGGCTGTCAACCATTTTCATAATTAATGACAGTCATAGAAAGTATGCCTCGTTGCTTGATATAGTCTCAATGGTCAAAGGCAGATGGTGGCAGCGTATTTCATCCTGGGTTAGCATTTCCTTGTTGGCAGTGTACCTTTTAGTTCCGATGTAACCATCATATGTCAGCTCACATTACCGTGTTTCATAACAGTTATCAAGTGCAACCGATGGTAAGTGTTACTCAGGATAAGTAGTGTTTTCATTATTAGTTTAGTAACCATTATAGTGGCACTTTATAGTGGTGTTACAATTGGCGGTGTTACAGCCGACTGCAAGATGAGTTGTCTTATATTCTTAGGAATTCTGATTTTAGTAATGATACTAGAGAGGTATTGTTTTGGGTCGTTTATTATGCACCTCATACCCATCCTGAGGGCGGAGTGGACCCCATACCCGTCCCGGGGCAGAGTGTGGTGAACCCACACAGGGCACGTGTGTACTCACCTATTTGTGCTTGCGGGGGGGTTGAGCTTTGGCTCTTTGGTCCCGCCTCTGGGCGCGCACACACACACACACACACACACACACACACACACACCCACACACACACACACACACACACACACACACCCACACACACACACACACACACACACACACACACACACACACACACACACACACACACACACACACACACACACGGATAACGACAGCAGCGTACTCCACACTGGCAAAAGTTAGAACATCAATCAGAAACCTAAGTAAGGAGGCATTTAGGGCGCTTTACACTGCCTACGTAAGGCCAGTCTTAGAGTATGCCGCCTCATCATGGAGTCCCCATCTGAAGAAGCATATAAGGAAACTGGAAAAGATTCAGAGGTTTGCAACGAGACTCGTCCCAGAGCTACGAGGGATGGGGTATGAGGAGCGCCTGAAGGAACTGTGCCTTACGACACTAGAAAGAAGAAGGGAGAGGGGGGACATGATAGGAACGTATAAGATACTCAGAGGGATTGACAGAGTGGACATAGACGAAATGTTCGCACGGAATAGTAACAGAACGAGGGGACATGGGCGGAAGCTTGAAACTGAGATGAGTCACAGAGATGTTAGGAAGTTTTCTTTTAGCGTGAGAGTAGTGGGAAAATGGAATGCACTTCAGGAACAGGTTGTGGAAGCAAATACTATTCATAATTTTAAAACCAGGTATGACAGGAAAATAGGACCATAGTCATTGCTGTAAACAACCAATGCTCGAAAGGCGGGATCCAAGAGTCAATGCTCGATCCTGCAGACACAATTAGGTGAGTCACACACACACATACAGTCACCACTCATCTTTACGATCTATTTTTTACTTATGCTAAGCGCTCCAAGCGGCGAATGGTTGAATTATGCCTCACCATGCCCGCCTTTTATTTATGATTGCATGAATGTAGTCGAGTGTTTAATAAATCGGAGTCGAGGAGCCGGCAAAATAATACACTCCGCCCCATGTTCTTGCTCTTAACAATATTCAAGCATACATTAGTTAATACATTTTATCTGTCCTAGTGGACAGAGCTTCGGCTCCTGAATAATAACAAGATCTTGAGGTTATCTTGAGATGATTTCGGGGGTTTTTAGTGTCCCCGCGGCCCGGTCCTCGACCAGGCCTCCACCCCCAGGAAGCAGCCCGTGACAGCTGACTAACACCCAGGTACCTATTTTACTGCTAGGTAACAGGGCCATTGGGTGAAAGAAACTCTGCTCATTGTTTCTCGCCGGCGCCTGGGATCGAACCCAGGACCACAGGATCACAAGTCCAGCGTGCTGTCCGCTCGGCCGACCGGCTCCGTTTTACAGGACGTAAAAATGATCTACACACTCTTCCAGGGGAAGTGATCTTGCCTAGCTTTGCAAGATGAACACTGAGGGGTATGGGAGTGTCACTGGTTAGTCAGTGGGTTGGCCCCAGTGCCACACTTTCAGAAATACCGGCATTTACAGCGCCCATGCGATTAAAGTCTGAAATAACGGTTGTGTTTTCTGTAGAGTTATTTTGCAGTTTCAGTAGTTCGTAATAATTTCTGCAGTGGTGGTGTAGTGGTGTTATTGTCGAGGTGGTGGTATAGTGGAGTTATTATAGTGTTTGTGGTATAGTGTGGCATGCAAATGAGGTAGAGATTTAGTGGTGCTCACGTAACTATGACTTAAGAGGGGAGTGAAGTCTACCTCCTAATGCCCTACTGCGTTAGTGAATGACACATGACACATCATGACATGACACATGACACACCCCCTTGACACATCTACTCCCACACATTTCTCCACTGTTTCCCCCCCCCCAACACTGTTCCACCCCCCACTGTTCCACCCCCCCCCCCCCACTGTTCCACTGTTCCACCCCCCCCACTGTTCCACCCCCCACTGTTCCCACCCCCCACTATTCCACCCCCCACTGTTCCACCCCCCACTGTTCCACCCCCCACTGTTCCACCCCCCACTGTTCCACCCCCACTGTTCCACCCCCCACTGTTCCACCCCCCACTGTTCCACCCCCCACTGTTCCACCCCCCACTGTTCCACCCCCCACTGTTCCACCCCCACTGTTCCACCCCCCACTGTTCCACCCCCCACTGTTCCACCCCCCACTGTTCCACCCCCCACTGTTCCACCCCCACTGTTCCACCCCCCACTGTTCCACCCCCCACTGTTCCACCCCCCACTGTTCCACCCCCACTGTTCCACCCCCCACTGTTCCACACCCCCCACTGTTCCACCCCCCACTGTTCCACCCCCACTGTTCCACCCCCCACTGTTCCACCCCCACTGTTCCACCCCCACTGTTCCACCCCCCCACTGTTCCACCCCCCACTGTTCCACCCCCCACTGTTCCACCCCCCACTGTTCCACACACCCCACTGTTCCACCCCCCACTGTTCCACCCCCCCCCACTGTTCCACCCCCCACTCTGGTTCACCCTACTGATAGTTCCTATACACACCGGCTTAAAAGTACACAGTAACCATTATTTTGAAGTGCACATTTCTAGAGAGATTTTGTGGATTTAGGCGAAAGATTTATAATGATTTATTTATTATTTAAGATTTGAGGATTTATTTAAGTGGGGGTTGTACAATCAGACTGTTGTGGGTAGAGTATGGTAGCGATAAGTGTTGAATAAGGTTACGTCAATGACTGAAAAAACCCAACACAACACCTCGCCTTCAAACAACTATTGTATTTAAAAAGTGTATTTTAACAAATGTATTATTAAAACTAATTATTAAATGTATTATACAATTATTTTATTATTCAAAGGTGTATTATTAAACCAATTTCACAATTTGGGAAGTAGAAGAACTCTCAGAACCCTATCCTACCTTGAGGTTACCTTGAGGTGCTTCCGGGGCTTAGCGTCCCCGCGGCCCGGTCGTCGACCAGGCTTCCTGGTTGCCGGACTGATCAACCAGGCTGTTGGACGCGGCTGCTCGCAGCCTGACGTATGAGTCACAGCCTGGTTGATCAGGTATCCTTTGTATACCTGATCATCCAGGTACCATCCAGGTACAATCCAGGTAACTCTAGTTCTTATATACAAGTGTCTATCACCTGCATAATACTACAGACGCAAGTGACAGGATGAACAACCCAGCGGGTTTTCTTCCTATTGGGGAGTGTTGTACATGCTGCTATGGCGGTGTGTTCACTCACAAGATGAGTGACGCTGCCATATACTGTCACTATGGCGGTGTGTCCACTCACAGGATGAGTGACGCTGCCCAATACTGTCACTATGGCGGTGTGTCCACTCAC